TCATAGTTATAAGAAACAGTTTTTCAAGAAACAATATCGATGTATATCTGAAGTATAAAGCTTAACTATTGTTTTCCCATGCACACTTGTGTCAGATTATACAAACAGAGGAGAAAAATAAGAAAATCATGTTTTAATAGATCGTTTAATGGAGTTTATATTTACATTCTTTTCTCAAAGATATTTAAAGCTATTGAACATAAATGGTATCTGGTTCCTTGACTGTCGTAGGGCGAGACATTTGAGGTTTTTCAGCGAACCATTTCTACCTTTTCAGTAAGGTGTAACTAATCGGGATAGTTCACTTTGGGGATAAACGGGAAATTTAAAATAGTTAAAAATGATAACTATTTCACGTCTTTAGTGTTACTTACCTACGATGTAGAGTATGTACAATGTGTTAAATATACTGTCTAAACCTCGAAATTTAGGCTATAAGAACGTTCTTTTTTTTCTTAATTTCATCGAAGCTGTCACACCTTTTTAATGGAACATTCCAAAGAAAAGGCGCGAAGATTTACTCGTGGCGTTTGGCGCGAAATTATGGATAGTGGCGCGCCTTTCAAAGTTCTTAGACAGGTGTATTGTTGAAGAAGTATATACAAAAACATTCTGAGCAGTTGACCCAGTAGCGTAATTTAAGCACGTTGGGAATAAAAGAGAAAAAAGCGCGTTGGATTTTCACGCTTGCGACCTGGATTCAATCCTCTTTGTGGCAATTTATTTTTATCACTTTTCAGCTCGATTTTCGAGGGTTTTTTTTCCTGAATCGGACGGAAGACCTCTCGTTGCTCGCAACGAGATCGTTTCTAGTTTTTTTACCATTTGATAATCATTAGATGCAGAAAAAGATATAATGAAAGGTGTCAAAACACACACATTAACACCAGAATTTATATCTTTTTGTTTGGCATGATGACACTGATATGCCTCTCCACGGGGTCGTCATTTTTTTTTTTTATTTCAGGACTTCAGAATTGTATATAGTAACATTATTATCTGCTTAATTAATACAAATAGGGCCCTGCTTACATTAAATCTATCAAGTACTAATAAAAAGAATGATCACTGTAACCTTTGGGACAGATGGATCTGTAATTATCATAAAGAAATGGTAATAGGTGACCTTAATAAGGTTTTTTATTTTGTTTTTTTCCCTGTAAGATTAGTATGAATAGGGAATAGCTCAGGGATATGTAGATGGTACATGTAAAATAATGGAGAGAAATGTTTATTCCTGTGAAAAAGAATGTCTAGTTCCTTTACTTTGTGTCAAAGGTCACACATATGTAGATTGTACATGTGTACTTGTCAATTATTCATGTACAGTAATTTGTCAAAATTGTTAGAAATTGTTTTTACAACTTTTCTGTAACCAGAGGGTATACATAATTCTAAAGATTACTACAAGCTAATGTATACATGTACAATAGATATCATTTGATCGGTGAATTTGATTAAAATGTATATTTCAGGAGTACAAGCAGATTCTAGACTCCCGACAGAAGCATGTATTGATTGACGTTAGGATGCCAGTAGAAATGGAGATCTGCAAGCTACCCACTGACACTTATAGTATCCTATTGAGACTATACCATTTAGAGAAAGTTTCCATTTGACACCCCCCCCCCCTCATTCAAGATTGATTAGATTAACTCTTTACCCCTATGCACCAAGAACACCTGAATTTAGAAAGGTGTGTCTTTTTTAAGTAATCACATCATGCCAAAATACAGGTAATGGTTTGGGGCAGATGTAGATGTACAGTATACATGTGCATATTTTTTTTTTAATACAAAAATGCAGTCATAGGATGAAAATATATTTAGCTCAGCAGATTATAAAAGACTGTGACAGATACTGCCAAGGGCCCAGCCCTGAAAAAACACTACTATCTTTCCATTGCCAAAGATGTCAATATTTTTTTGTATCTTGTTTTTTTCTTGACCTGATTCCCAGATTTACCACTTAATTGTGTGGGAAGAGAGGACAGTTTAGCTAGCCTGAAAAGTCACATCCAATCTAGTTCAGCTGGTGAAGAGTTTTTTCCTGTTTATGTTGTGTGTAGAAGAGGAAATGATTCACAAATTGCTGTACAGAAACTCAAGAACCATTTTAAATCAGACTCCATTCATTTTAAAGACATTACAGGCGGACTTTATGCATGGGCAAAACATATAGACACCAATTTTCCTGTTTATTAATTCAAATAAAAAACATAAAACAAAATGACAAGATTTTTTTCTTTTTCCCAACATCAGTCAACAAACTCAAGAATCGTTTTAAATCAGACTCCATTCATTTTAAAGACATTGCTAGTAGGCTTTATGTATGGACAAAACATATAGACACCAATTTTCCAGTTTATTAATTCAAATGAAAAATATAAAACAAAATGACATTTTTCTTTTTTCACTACACTTATTCATACAAAGGCTGTGGCAGTAATGGCGATAACACTCAGAACTGTTTTCTGGACCACTGATAGTCAGAATGCATAAAATGCTTTAAATTGAAATTCCCTGTGGTTAAGTAGACCACACACTGTCCTGTGATGTTAAGTTCAGTGACATCTAGGTGAATGATTCTGTGGTCATCAGGCATCAAAGAGAGAAAAACCTACAAGTCCAGAAAAAATAAAAGTAAAGCACAAGTTTTTAGATAAATCTTATCCATTCAAGAATTTGAAATTTACTCTTCACATTGCGCGTCATTGCGGAAATAAATGTGAAGAAATACAATATAATACATGTACAGTTAGCAGGGTTTCACATATTTTGTTAATAAACATTAAACACAGACGATACATTCAACTATTATTTTAACAAAACCTTTTTCGTTTAAAAACACACTGAAAGACGACAAATGTAACAAATAAATTTGGTTAAAAAGACAAAGAATGTTAGTAGTCACCATAGGCACCCATGAACGGATTAAAGTACCCTCCACTTCCGCCCCATGACCCCCGGAAGGTGTTCCGGTACAGGAGTTGCTTTTTCTGGTTGGCTTGCTGCTGCTCTAGAATGTCACCGGCGTCGCCTGCTTCTGACCCACCGAGTCCACCCCCAAAACCTCTCATGAACCAGTTACTCAGTCCACCATTGTATCTTCCGAATCCGGAATTAGCTGTGATTGAATAAAGGGTGTTTTTTGTGTACTTGACTCGCGTATTTAATAAAGTGAGCTACTAGTTGTTTTGAGCATAAATCGGTAGAATACACGTAAATAAGCCACAGGTGCTTGAGGACAGGACCCCCCCCCCCTTCGATATAGACCCCTGGGCTTTTTCGATTTTTTTCTTATAAAAAATCTTTCATTGCCATATTTGTGATAAGATCTATACCAGCAAATCGAAAAATTACCTAAAACAAACGTTCTATTAAATCTACCCTACATTCTCTGTATAAAATCAATTTATATATAGAGAGGGTAGATATTTTTATAAAATGTAAGTTTAAGCAAATTTTCTGAATTGATAGGATAGATTATATCACAAATATGTCATCCATATATAATTTATGTGAAAAAAGTCTAACAGGCCCGGGGGTCTGTATTGAGGGGAGGAGGGGGGGGGGTTCCTGTCCTCAAGCACCTGTGAAATAAGCTAGGTCATCCGATTTTGAGAATTTATTTTTAAATATTTTGATTTCTTACATACTTACTTCTGAACATAAGAAAGGCTGAGGAGAAATTGCCGAACGTCAACAGTACAACTAGGAAAGCCAGTCTTGTCATCATCTTAGTGTTAGTCCGCGCCTCCTAGGTTTTACTGCCAAAAAAAAAAACTAGTAAAATTCGCTGTTAAATCAAAAAATTATTTCGTCCTAAAAAACAATAAGATGTATTTAGCAATTACTCCTAACCTGTTTATTTGGGATGGGGGGTCATTGTGTTGTGTCTGATTTATAAAAGCCGCAATCTGCATATTTAAAGAATATGACAAAGAACGGAAGGGTCAGCAAACTATTTCACTTACAATCCCCGGCGAATTACAGTAAAACTCGATTATAGCGAAGTCCTGGAGACTTTTTAAAATAAATTTTGTATTAACTGCTATCCGGTAAATTCAGCATTTACAACATTACAGTTAGGTACAATCAGTTAAATACCAACTGCTTGAATTGGACAAAAAGTCGTCTGTCTAAAGTCATAGGGGGAAAAATTACTACAAATGGTATCACTTAGTACAAAGAGACTAACATAGTTCTCTGATGGCAACAAATGCTACCAGTGGTCGTTTTGTTCTCTGTCGGCAACAAATGCTACCTATGGCACGCCAAATTCACAAAGATGAGCTAAACATAGTTTCACAGTCGATAAACTAGGTTTATCGGTTGTAAACTATAGTTTACGGACTGTAAACTATAGTTAACAACATTAATCTATATTTTACATCTGTAAACCATAGTTAACGCGATAATCTATGTTTCACAACTGTAAACTATACTTAACACCGAAAACTATCATTTGCGATTGCAAAACATAGATTATCTGATAAATACAGTTTCACGATTTGTAAATTATAGTTTACAAACCGTTAACTATAGTTAACGATCTGATAAATATAGTTTCACGATTTGTGAAACTATGATTAACAACTCTTAACTATAGTTTACGATTGTAAATTATAGTTTACAAACGTGAATCTATGTTTATCAACAAAATCTATTGTTAACGCTTTATTACAGACAGATAAACTTAGATTAGCATTCGTAAACTATAGTTAACGACCGTTAAATATAGTTTTACAGATGAAAACTATAGTTAACGAATTGTTAACTATAGTTCACGGTTTGTAAACTATAGTTTACAGTCGATAATCTTAGTTTATCAACTGTGAAATTATGTTTAGCTTATTTTTGTGAATTTGGCGTGCCATAGCTACCAGTGGTCGTTTTGACATTCCCAATCGGTAAAAACCCTAATCGCACCGAATTTTGGGTGTGTTGAGAGTCCTGGCACGCTGTCAGTGATCTGCAGAAGTTACCAGTGGTAGAACCTGGAACACACCCACTGTTAGGGAAATGAATTACCATTGATATGCAAGTGGTACCAATGTTTACCACAAAATTTGCCGGTGGCAACCTTTCTCGCAGACAGACAAAAGTGTGGGTAAGGAATTCGTAAAGGATGTCATTGATCATCAATCATGGCGGCCAAAATATGCGTATTGGAGACCTGTTGTGGATAGCCAATTTCCCCCTATGTGTGACGTTTTAGGGGGAATAAACTAGTAGATTCTAGGAAAACTCAGTCTTGCAAAACTGATTCCTGACAAGTCTTGTTATTATGACGATGCAAAATTAAACATCTCAAACGAAATGAATTAAACTGAGAAAATGGCAAACACAGATTAATTAGCATATCAAATTACGGAATTTCATTTTAAATAGCTGAAACATTGAAATAAGAGTTACAAATGTTTCCATTACACTCCAGTTGGGAACTTTTGCAGAATAATTGCAATCGACATGCCACAGCTGACGAGGGTTCATTAGCTACCAACAGATATGATAAATCTGGGGGGGGGGGACTCTGAACCCTCCCATAAACTCTGCTTGCTTTCACTGCGTAAAATTTATGTAACTCTCTCTCTCTCTCTCTCTCTCTCTCTCTCTCTCTCTCTCTCTCTCTCTCATTTTTCATAGCATTTGTCAATAATCTTATACATAATAGGTAGCATAAATTTAATTTCCCTTTTCGAGTTAATTTTCTAGTTCTAAAAAAACTAAAGATTTTTTTTTTAATCTTAAGGTTCATTGATACTCTGATAAGAGAGATAACTCTAATGAAATAAATGTCTATTACTTCTTTAAAGATTTATCAAGTTTGAATTGTCTTTTACATTTGATTTTGACCCACAAGCATTGATATAATTGTTGTTTTTTACTTGTAAAATAAATTCCCTCTGAAAAATAATAAGAATTAAAGCATTATTTTCTATGAGTGAGCAGACGGCTTATAAACCCAAAGTTGTAAGAAAGATCTACCGGGTATATTCAGCTCTCATATTAAATTATTACTAGTACATTATGAATGAATAAGACATAGTATGCACACAAATTACGTTATAAATGTTATTTAATGAACTGCCTAGGATTTTTCTCTTAAATAGATTTCAAAGACGCAAATGCATTCATAGTTTCTTTTTTTTTTCTTTCTTTTCTTTTTGTTTTTTCAATTTTAACACAGGTTTTAACACAGATATTCCAATGAAACACCTGAATTTTTTTTCATGTATTATTGCGATTTTTTTTTTTTTTTTTTAGATATTTAGGTAGGTTTTTTATCAATTGAAATATCAATAGGAACAACAGATAAAAGAAACCACAGGGATTCGATAAATAGAGGACTGCTCTTACCTGTTGGCGTCCGTAAAGTGACTACCATACGAAATTGAATGAATAAATAGGGACAACCTATAATGTTCCGAAGACTTGGCACACATTAAGAAATCCATTAGGAAGTTGACACAAAGGTCACATTTGGTGAACCACAGAGAGCAGTTAATCGTCATACAGATGTTCAGAAGTGCAACATTTTTATTTGCAATTAGTGTGTACAACTTCTGCAAGGTTATTAATGTGTTAAAAGTCGTAAATGCGGAAGACTGACAAGCGAATGAAATCGGAGAATAAGAAAAAATAAGTGTATAAACAACATATGCTGGCTAAAAATTCATTTTTGTATATAACAATGTGATAAAGATACCGGTATTTCACAAGATTTTATGTGTGGTTTCTTACAAGGAATATAGTGCACATAAAATAATGAAACTGCCCATTTATATCATGACCGCTTGATTATCTCAGTAGTAATAATAAAATTCTGGATCCTCCTTTAGAATAATAAATGGGAGAAAAATGAGAGTTTTGGAATAACAAATTAAAATTGTTCAAATATATAACAGCAATTTTTATGCATTGTCCTCAAAGAGCAGCGGAGAAAGTATGACACCCTGCTGTATGCCAATACAAGTGTTGATTTTGATTCAAGTTCTTGACCAGAGAACGAATCCGTCTTATACTCAAATGGTTATCATGTTGTAAATTTTAAATTTACTAAGTCGAGATAAATGCAAAATTTACAACTTGATAACTGTTATTATGTTGTAAACTCAAAATTAAAAAAAATGATAGGTGGATGAAATTGTTCAGGAGATTCCATCAATCATAGTAATACACGTACACATTAATACATATGAAGTTATGTGATCCAGGTTCTGGGTGTGTTTGGTTAAAATAGCGAACAAACAAGGCTATTGTTCCAAATTCAATATAAACAGAACTATTTGTGCTTTAATAGTCATGCAGTTTTTTCTTTACGGACTTTCTATGGCAAAATAAAACAGTTTTCAGTATATGTTTAACATATTTTTTATTAACAAACAATAAATAACAAAGACTCCATTTTGAGGACTGGTGCCATGAAATCGGTGCACAAACTTAGTAATAACCTGTAAAGTAAAAAAAAAAAATATATATATATATAAATACTCAGTAATGCTTTTTAAATGGCTATTATGAAGTATTATTAAAATGTGTTAAACTACAAAGTCGTCATTTATTTAGGAAAGAAAATCTTTGGAAAAAAGTATTGAATTCCAGCTTCAGTTTATGCCTATCTGTTTGAATAATATATGTATTCTTCCAACTGACAAAATTTAAATGTTATAAGCTTTTGATAATTTTTCTGAATTACCTCCGAACTTTTTCTTGAAGATAGGTCTCATAAATCTGATTTTCCTGATTGGAAGGACCCTCATCTTTTTGTATGAAGATTTTCTGTATCCTCCGCCGTAGCGTTTTTTGTATCCTCCGAACTTTGGTCTGTAGATGACCATGGGTCTGTAGTAACCTCCGCCAATAGCACCCTTTCCGTATCCGCCTTTCTTTCCTCCAAATCCTCCACCAATGCCAGCTCCAGCCCTAGCTCCTACTGAGACACGGGCACCCACGGCGGCTCCAACACCGACACCTCCTCCAATACCAATACCTCCTCCGATCCCGCCTCCGATTCCTCCTCCGATTCCTCCACCGATACCTCCTCCTCCAATAATTACGGAATCGTCAAATGATCCGCTGACGGAGTTCAGATTTCCACCATTGATGATTGTGCTGTCATCGAAGTTTCCGCTAATGGAGTTCAAGTTTCCACCTCTACCGATGATTGTGCTGTCATCGAAGTTTCCGCTAATGGAGTTCAAGTTTCCACCTCTACCGATGATTGTACTGTCATCGAAAGATCCACTGATGCTGTTGATGTTTCCACCTCCAATGACTGTGGTGTCATCGAAGTTGCCATTAATGCTGTTGAAGTCATCGAATCCACCTCCGATGTTATCATGGAAGCCACCTCCGATATCACCTCCGATACCTCCTCCAATACCTCCCCCGATTCCACCTCCAACACCGATACCACCTCCAACAGCGGCACCAACAGCGGCTCCCACGGCTACATCAGCTGAAGCATGAGCACCACCTCCGATGATTCCACCATTGTGGTGATCGAAATGGCCTATATCGTGATGGTCAATGATTCCTCCCTTTCCATGGTGACCATGGTCAATGCTTCCACCATTAAATCCAGCATCGAACTGTCCACCGACTCCAAGATCAACACCAAGATCAACCTGGGCGTTTCCGACTCCGATAGCGCCACCCTTAGATCCGTGATGATCGATGTGACCCGGCTGGTGAACTATACCGCCCTTTCCCCAGCCCTGATCATGACCTATTAAATTGGCAGCCGCTCCACCAATAGTTCTCCAGAGCC